GGCGGCGCCGGCTTTATGCTAATGAAGCCCGGGAAATTCAAATCCCGGGCTTCATTAGCAAGTTCGGTATGCATACATTACCCCGCTAGTTCGAACTAGCGGGGTAGTGTAGACATACCCTATGAGACCTACTCTAACTACTTAGGACAGTAACTAACAATAGAACTAATTACAGGGAAAACAAAGACCAAATAGGGAAATGTACAACAGCTAACATTGAGACTACCAGGTTGTGATGCACCGTCACCGGCAGCAAAAAGGAACTAAGGGAGAAGGGGGCCAGAGGCGCCCTAAATGGCACGGCTTCAGGTGTGCGCTGCTTCAGGTGGCACCTGAGGCCTCCCTCCCCATGCTGAGTACTGCTAAGGGAAAATCTTCCAGCACTGGTGCATGTGGCAAGAACACACACCTATGTTGAATTGACATGAGCAATCACTCAAAAAAGAATGGGCCTACCCAGTTCTTGGTCTTCCTCTTATTTCTAATGTAAATTATTTTCTTGTTATCCTTTATTGTTGTAGCTAGCTAGTTTAATTTTTTTACTTGTACTTTGACTTTGTGTCTATATATTTGTGGCTTTTTAAAAACACACACATTTATCCACCCATCTACCCTTCGTAATTTTACCTACTTTTCCCTTTTTTATAATCTATTAAAATTTCAGATAATTGAAGAAGCCAGGGTTGTCTCTTACCATATTTCTTATATCTTTCATACACTTTGGGACAGTTTGCTCAGAGACTTTCAACAGGTCCACTATCTTAATCTCATTGCAAGTAGTGTCAACAAGAAGTGGGAAGTCACTAGATCCTGTACTCTCATCTGCAGCCAAATGTGACTTTGAAGCCAGCAGATAGAACAGAAGGTTTATTGGTTCACAAGGATACAGTGTGGAACAGACTGTTAGCACAGGAACCAGAAGCTGTCAGTACAATTTACTTTATGGAGAAAGGCTCGTAGCCAATGGCCCTGGCCCCTATCTCTGCACCCCAAGCCAGCCAGAGTCACTCACAAATCAGTAGCACATCTCTGCCTGCCGCCAGTCCCACCTCTAGCTTTTGTTCAGTTTCCCAGGCAAAAGGTATCACCTGGTCACACTGCTTCTCAAGATCAGGTTACAGAAAGCCTGGGACATTGTGTCTATGCTGGAGCAGCCTCCCTCAGTGAGAGTCACATCTGAAATTCCCATCCTCATCCAGGCACTGGTGCAGAGCCCAGGGAAACTGAGGCACACACACACATACAGCATTACTACAGAAAAATTTAAGACAGTAGAAATCACATGCAACATAACAGAGCAAACACACCAAATATAGTCCACCCTCTATCACATAAGTTTATTCAATTTTGATATAGAATGCAACATCTCTTCCATTTCCTCCCTGCCTGTCTTTCCTGAACAAGCTGCACCTTTCTATATCAAAATTGCAGCCATGTGAATTATCTCACCAAGCTTCTGAGATGCTAATTATGCCAATAATCAAATTTTCCAATAATCAAAATAGTGATTATTAGTATTTCTAGTTCTTCCTGTTCATTGCCCATCCTTCTTGCATTAGTATATAGATATCTAACATATTTATTAGATTTTCCCACTATAATTCCTCTGTCTCTTCTTTCTTCCTGCTGTGATTATAAAGATGACATTAGTAAGGATGATGATGATTATGAAAAGAAGTTACAGCATGGAACTTTCCCACCCACTGAAAGTTTAAAAAATAAACAGAGATCAACAAGCTATGGGACTAGTCAATATTTAGAAGCTTTTCTTGCATTCTTCTGCTGGTCAGCAAAATTCCTCTGAACTTTCTTAAAGGAATTATTACTTTTGTGAATGTTATCATAAATTCTGGGATAAGGACCACTGCCCCAGTTTTAATTCTATTGGTTATCTCAATTTCTAATTCATATTTTGAATGTGAGTAAATTGTACTCTGAATGCACAGCTTTTCAACTTGCCCATCAGAACTTGGTCCAAACTAGTCTTAGATACATTGACTGAGCAATGTTAGGGAAACAAATAGTAGCTACGACACTACAAAAAGGGAAAAGATGTCAGGACCAGGAAGAATTATAGATGAGATTTTTTTTATGCTTGGATTTCAAAAACAGAACGGCTACATCTAGACTGGCATAATTTTCCGCAAATGCACTTTTTGCGGAAAAGCATCCGTGCTAATCTAGACGCGCTGTTGCGCAAAAAAGCCCCGATCGCCATTTTCGCGATCAGGGCTTTTTTGTGCAAAACAAATCTGAGCTGTCTACACTGGCCCTTTTGCGCAAAAGCTTTGTGCAAAAGGGACTTTTGCCCGAACGGGAGCAGCATAGTATTTCCGCAAGAAGCACTGATTTCAGACAGTAGGAAGTCAGTGTTCTTGCGGAAATTCAAGCGGCCAGTGTAGACAGCTGGCAAGTTTGAAAAACTTGCCAGTCTAGACACAGCCAAGAAGTAAAGCTGGGGGCTTTTCCACTGTCAAATGCTATTGATATCTGACCAAGACATGAAGCTAACAGAGATGGAGATTGTGGGAGTCTTTTTGTGCCCTGTCATGCTAGAAATCCAGATAGCATTTAAAAACTTTTGCTACTAAACTTCAACCCAACTGGCAAGGTTTCTGTAGTATTTGTACAGAGATGAAGGCTCTTATGGTAAGTTTATGTCCTAACTCCCTTTCTTTAAACTCTCAATAAAATATTGTTTCATTCTTAATTCCATTTGGAGATTTTATTTAGGAGAGCTACAGGATGGAACTATGGCAAACAATGTTCTTTTCTTAAAAAAAAAGAACGAGGTGTCCTGTGACACCTTAGGGCATGTCTACACAGCAGCGTTATTTTTAAATAATGTCAAGATGGAGGACTTCTTACTCCGACTCCTGTAACCCTCATTTCATGCGGAGTAAGGGAAGTCGGAGGAAGAGTGTTCTTTCTTCAACTTCCTACTATGTAGACAGTGCCAAAAAGCCGAATTAAGCTATTTCGACTTCAGCTATGAAATTGACACAGCTGAAGTTGCATGTCTTAATTCAACTTTTGCCCTGCTGTGTAGACATGCCCTAACAGATTTAGTAAGGCATAAGCTTTCATGGGTAAAAATTACTTCATCAAATGCACGTGGTGGAAATCAGAGCTAGGGAGATTTATATATATATAAAACACACACACCTCCCCTGCAAAAGTATGGAGTCACAGACTAACCCCTCTGAGACTTGGAGGATTGGGCCACAAGAAATCTGATGAGGTTCAACAAGGACAAGTGCAGAGTCCTGAACTTGGGATGGAAGAATCCCAAGCATTGTTACAGGCTGGGGACCAACCAGCTAAGTAGTAGTTCTGCAGAAAAGGATCTGGGGATTATAGTGGATGAGAAGCTGGATATGAGTCAACAGTGTGCCCCTGTAGCCAAGAAGGCTAATGACACATTAGGTTGCATTAGGAGGAGCATTGCCAGCAGATCCAAAGATGTGATTATTCCCCTTTATTCGGCTCTTGTGAGGCCACATCTGGAGTAATGTGTCCAGTTCTGGGCCCCCCACTATAAAAAGGATGTGGATACACTGGAGAAGGTCCAATGGAGGGTGAACAAAATGATTAGGGGGCTGGGAGCGTATGACCTATGAGGAGAGGCTGAAGGAGTTGGGTCTGTTTAGTCTGCAGAAGCGAAGAATGAGGGGGGATTTGATAGCAGCCTTCAACTTCTTGAAGGGAGGTTCCAAAGAGGAAGGAGAAAGGCTGTTCTCAGTAGTGAGGGATGGCAGAACAAGGAACAGCGGTCTCAAGAGGTGGGAGAGATCCAGGTTGGATATTAGGAAAAGCAATTTTACTAGAGGAGGGTGGTAAAGCACTGGAATGGGTTACCTAGGGAAGGAGTGGAGTCTCCATCCCTAGAGGTGTTTCAGTCTCGGCTTGACAAATCCCTGGCTGGGTTGATTTAGTTGGGATTGGTCCTGCCTAGAGCAGGGGGCTGGACTTGATGACCTTCTGAGGTCTCTTCCAGCCCTATGGTTCTATGATTCACTCCCTCTGGGGCACCTGGCATTGGCCACTGTCGGCAGACAGGGTACTAGGCTGGATGGACCTTTGGTCTGACCCAGCATGGCCGTTCTTATGTTCAACACCTCAGCTCCAAGACATCCCAGACTAGATACAAATTATCGAAGATGGTGCAGCCCGAGACAGTGTAGGTCTGGTCAAGGCAGTAGAACTCCAGTCAACCTGTCCATGCCTTCTCCTGGAGCCAGGCACTGAGTGGTCACCCATGCAGAGGGGAAGGAGCCTCTCCCAGAGCCTTGGTGGGCAGCACCTGGCCCCAGGAACCTACCTGACCGAAAGCCAGGAGGTAGCACTAGGGACATAAAAGGCCTGCCAGAGAGGCCAGTCAGGCCCCAGCAACCAGAGGGAGAGGGGCCAGAAGCCTGCCTTGCATACCTCAGCAAAGAGGTGGAACCAAGGAAAGCTGAGAACCGGCTTGGGCTGCTGGGTCCACAACTGGATGAATTTCTGGAGAGAGTGCTTACCTGGCTGGAGGTTCCTGAGCTACGAAGCCCAGAAGACCTGCACCAGGACCCTACCTCTTTTCATTCCTGGATCTTGCTGACCTATTTATGAATTTTACACAACATCCCTCAGATCAGAAATTTTTCAGCTGCAAAAAGAGGTCAACGGGGGTGGGGGGTGGCTAGAGGTTCCTGCAGGTGGGACTGCAGTACTTTAAATTTCATTTCAGTAAAGACAACCCACATAACTGGATTATGCTCTAAATTAAAAAAAGTACCTGAACAATTGAACTAATTCTTAAATCACACAAAATCTGAATGAATAGGAAATGTCAACAGATCTCATTTTATAACATTATTCACATTTAAACATTTAAAATCACTCTTCAGTATTGGAATTAATATATATATCTTAAAAGACATTAGATCTCCATTAGTAATAAAAGACTCATTTCCACAGAGTCCTACTTCCGTTTTAAAAAGAAAATGAAATTTGTTCCATACCTGGACCAAGCAGTGGGGACCGGTTCGGCTGGGCACTTGACTGGTGTGATGGCTGAGGTTCAGCCATATGTGTGTTGATAATGGTGGTACTAGTGGTGGTATTGGTTGCGGTACTGCTCTGAATTACAGGATTGTTTCTATCCCACATGTTTACAGTTTTGTTGTTGTTGTAGTTTGGATCACCCCATGCCGAGGTACCATCATCAATTTCCATCTTACGACGAATGGATGGCGGAGAAGGCTCTTCCCAGCCAGTTGCCTCACTGCTATCTTTTTGTTTGGGTAGCACTGGCCCACCAACCCATCCTGATCCAGTCTGTTTTACAGAAGCTGCTCCTCCCCAGTTATTCACACTGTTATCTGGGGGCTTACTAGCCCAATTCTGTTGAGGGCTAGGTTTCAGAGACTCTCCCCAACTTGTACTAGTCTTGGTGTTTGTGCCATTTCCCCATCCACTGGTCCCAGACCTTGTAGTATCATTCCAACCTGGCCCTGCTCTATTGTCACCATCCCAACCAGATCCATTCTTCTTTCCCTCAGCCAAGTGTCCAGGGACAGATGACTCCGTCCAATCTCCACTTCCTGAAGTCCAGCCTGAATTTGATTTCTGTCCATCTCCCCAGTTTTGAGATTTGGGTTTCTGAGGTTCACCCCATGTAGGTGATTTGTCATCCTGATTTGCGGTCCCACTCCAAGCATGGCCACTTTTGGCAGCAGTAGCAGCAGCATTGACAGCAGTAGAGCTGGCCGATTCTCCCCATCCCCCTGGGCCATTTGGCGCTTTGTTATTGTTGTCTCCCCAACCTGTATTTGTTGGAACAGCTGTAGGTGGAGAGTTAACCCACCCAGATACTGAAGAGGTATTTGTACTGTTCACGATGGACCCATCATTCTTCCCCCCTGAGTTTGAAGACTGAGAAGTTGTACAACCCCAGGCCTCTGTTCCATTGTCATTCTTTCGTTCAGACCTCGGGGATTCTTCAAATTCCCAGGCAGTGTTTTGCTTTACAGGAGTCTGTCCCCACCCAGTATTAGACAGAACTCTTGGATCAAGGTCATTCCTTGGCAACTGGACCTGCCCTTGGTCTATCACCCCTTTGTCTCTTCTTCGGGCCTCTCCTGATCCTTCTCTCCCAATGCTGCCCTCATTTTGACCTCCCCCACTGTCATTACTTTCTTCACTAGGTGTGGTGACCAATGCTGCAGCTTTGGCCCAAGAGTTTATTTGTTCATTGCCCTGCTGCATGGCAGGATTCTGGCTGGCAACACTAGAGCTATCCCACCCTGCTTTACCGTTGATGTCACTATTGGAATGCTGGTTTGGGAGCTTGCCCCATTCACCATTAACGCCATTACTGATGTTACGGTTGGGGTGGCCCCAAGCTCCAGAATGCGTATTACCAACACTACTATTGCCACTGCCTCTGCCCCATGCCAGTATCCCAGGACCAGCAGGAGGTCCTGAATCCCATGCACTTGCTCCATTTCCTTCCTTTTGCACAGTGCTGCTAGATCCATTCTGTTTAGCACTTAATGCTGAGTTCACAGTGTCTCCATTCCCCTGACTGAACCCAGAATTGCTGTTTCCTGTGGCAGGATTACCTGGGGATATTCCCCATACTGAACTGCTCATTCCTTCACCACTGCCCCCACTGACTTGAGAAACTGATGTTCCATTAGCACCAGGAAGGCCTTGCAGGTGGGGAGAGATGATGGCCCCCATACTAACAGCCATCCCCCAGTTTGGCAGTCCATTAGTCTGCATTGCATTGATAGGGTTTGGTGAAGAGTTCACGGGATTAGTGTTATTTGGTCCATCAGTGTTAAGGTTCTGAGGTTGTACGCTGAAAGACACATTCTGAGAAGTGGACGTTTGTGGTTCTGTGCTCTCTTGCGGCAGCAAGTTTCCCCAAGCACCTAAGGTGCCTGTTGGGTTACCATTCTGGTTGCCCATATTCTGACCGATGGCACTGACTGGACTGCAAATACTGGAAGTGTTGCCTGCTCCCACAGTTCCTTCATGTCCAAGTACAGGCCAGGCAGCTGGATTGGCATTAGGATTAAGGTTAAGATTAATGCCAGCATTTGAGTTGGAAGCACCCCAGCAGTTTTGACTTCTACCATCTGCAATCATGTTGTCCATCTTTGCATCCCCACCACTGGCAGAGCAGTAAGCTAGGCCAGAGGTAGAGCCAGTGGCCACACCCCACACTCTGGCTGAGTTTCCATTACCGTTTGCTCCACCAGCTCCAAGGGCACTCTGGTTAGAAGTGCTTTGGATGAGTGCTCCATTGGCGCCATTATTGCCATTAGTTTTCTTTGTATGTCCAGTGAAGTTGCCTGGGGCACTCCCTGTAGCCATGCTACTGTTCTCTGAGCCACAGTTGGAGGCAGAGTCAGTTTCTGTAGTACATTCTGAAGCAGATTCAGTCTCAGTTCCTGTAATGGAAGGCCACGCCTCCTTGTCAGTCCTGTCTATTATCACTTTATCCCAGCTGCAGCTGGCTTCACTTCTGAAATTGGGCTGCTGTCCCCAGTGGGAATTTTCATAATGGTCTCCCAAACCACTATGACTAAGATCTGAAAAGAATTAAACAAAAGTCAGAATTAGTCTGCCACCCACATTCTGTCAAAAGAACATTAGTAAATACATTTTACTTTCTCAGTTATGAAACCATGCTCTAAATGAATTCCAAATTACAATGAAACCAAGGGATACACTATTTTTACAAGTATATAAAATGGTTCTATGCACCACAGTGAATACATTATGTATTTCTGTTTTTTAAAAGTATTTCTATTATGATGTTATAAAAGGAGTTTAATCATAAATGTATCTTTTAAATTATCAAGTTCATATTTAACATTTTCTGTAAATTTGACAAAATTTTTAAACTGGAAAGTTTTGTTTCAGAACTGACCAGAAGTGATAAATATTTTGTGTCTTTCAGGATACCAGTAGAAATTGAAATTAGTGAAAAACAAATTGATTAAAGACAACAAATATGTTATACTTAGGCAGAGTACACCTGTAAAGAATAAAAAAAAGTAGCTTTGAGAAGAAAACTATTAGATTAGGACATCTAAACTATCTGTTTACCAATGCAGGATGGTCCTTAGTAAGGATGTGAAGGTTTGACTGATTAACTGGTTAAGGTTAACTGGTGGGGCAGGCAGGAGACTGCTCAGATAGGGGTTGATCCAGATACTAGAGTAGTCTCTGTTCATGGTGGGCTTGGGTGCCCTACAAGCAGGGGCTGTTTCAGACACCCTAAAGCTTGACCTGGTTTGATTTTAAATGTCTCTATTGATGGGGCTTCCAAAAATAAAACCTTACAAATTTTAAAATTTTGGTCTCTTGGTCACAGTATTTCTGCACCAGAAATAAACAATCCACATTGGAGTGACTTCAGGACTGTGCTGGTCTCGGCCTGAGCTGCCTGTTGTACTATAGCTGGAAAGGCCCCCTCTACTCTATTTTAGTAGTTAACCAGCTAAACATAAAGTTTAACCGATTAACTTATTAAATGAGCTTTTACATCCCTAATACATGAATATTATTTCAACTGGCAATTACAGTCCAATTTGTTTTAGAAAACCAAGAAAATAAATGGCATCTTTGTACTTATCCTTAAAATGCAGCACCAGCCTTTTCAGCTCCAGATCCTCTTGTCCCATTCCCCCCAACACTCCTCCAACATATAAGTCAGTGGTTCTCAAACTTTTTGGCCTGTAGTCCACCTGGCTCAATGCAAACCTTTCTGTGGACCACCAGTTGCTAATGTAAACTTGCCGTTAATTACATAATTACGCTCATGGCATTTTGCTAGTGCTGCAGCTAGGGGAGAACAGTTTAATTTAACCAGTAAGAAAGGAAATATTATTATTAAACAGATTACATGCTTTAACTTTCTCATGTTAGTTTATCAAACTCCATTTTAAATAAAGTAAAATATTAATTTATGTCCAATACAAAGGTTTCAATGTTGTCTTTATTTGTGGCAAGGGTGGGGAACCTGTTTTGGATTGGGGGCCACTGACTGACAGAAAAATCAGTTGGAGACCACACAAGTGAGAAGCAAAAAAAACCCTCCAAAACCCCCCAACCCTCACTGATGTGCCCCCCAAGACACCTCACTCCTGTGGTGCTGCAGCTGCGTGTGGCAGGGCTTCCCATGGGCTGGATTTACTCTTCCGGGGTTTTGAGGTTAGTGGATTTAGTGGGCTCCCCAAGCTCTGGGGAGGGAACAAAAATGAGGGGTTCTGTGTACGGGACAGGGCTGCCAAGTGAGTGGGATGGGGTGAGAGAGCAGAATCTGGGTGGGAGGTGGGATGCAGAAGGGAGTGAGGGTTTGTCTGGGCAGAAGGGAGTGAGGGTGTTGGGTCTGGGCGGGAGGTGGGATACAGGAGCAGGCTGGAAGTAGGGTGTCTGGCCAGAGGGAAGGGGGCAGGAGGAAACTGGGGGTATGGTGTCTGGCCAGGGGGGAGGGTGCAGGAAAAGGTTGGGGTGCGGGGTCTTGGTAGGGGGCAGTACAGGAGCATGGTAGGTCTAGGCATTGGGGGCTCTCACTTGCTGTGGGGAAGGGAGGGAAGGAGGGTGGAAGGGGAGAGCTGAGCTCGAGCTGCGGACCACCTGGAATGGTGCTGTGAATCACTAGTGGTCCGGGGACCACAGTTTGAGAACCACTGGTATATCCCTTCATGCTTTGACCACCATTCTGGAGGACATGCTTCCTTGCTGATGGTGTTCATTAAAAGTGTTAATGAAATTTATGAATGATCTCTTTGAAAAGAGGATTATGTGTGTTTCACTCTGTTTTACCCATATTCTGCCATATATTTCTGCCATATGTTTCTCAACTAGTGGAATGAGTACCCTTAGGGGTACTCAAGAAAAGTTTGGAGGGTATGTCAACAAACTGAAATTTGGAGAAAACTGAATTTTTGTTTTAAGTTTTACAGTGCTTTATTATTTTTTTACCTTTTACAGCCAAAAATGTCATTGCCCGCCCAGCTACAATTAAATTGTTTAAACAAATGTGTTACAATGGTAGAAAAAAAATTGTGTGTCTGAAAACTGTAGGTTTTGGGGGTACTTATAATTTTTTTTGAAAAAGGGTACTTTATAAAAAAGTCTGAGAAACACTGTTATAGTAGTCTCTGATGATGACCCAGCACATGTCCATTTTGCTGCAAAAGGCAAAGAAAGTACCAATGTGAAATTTCTAAAGATTTAAGAATCTGAAGCACCTTCCAAAATTTGAGAGGTTTAAGTGTACAGCATGTTTTCAGAAGAGCAATGCTTCAATGCTGAAGCCACAGAATCTGAACCATCTAAAAGAAATATCAACCTTCTCCTGGTAGCATCTGACCCAGATGATGAAAATGAACTTGTGCTGCCACACATTGCTTTGGATTATTATGGAGCAGAACCCATCATTAGCATAGACACATGTTCTCTGAAATGGTGACTGAAGCATGAGTGGACATATGAATCTTCAGTGCATGTGGCATATAAATATTTTGTGATGCAGGCTACAAAAATGCCATATGTATGCATGTTTTCACTTTCAGTTTTATATTGTGAACAAGAAGCAGGCAGCAGGCAAATCTGAACAAAATTATCTGAGCTATTGGCTGAACAAGAAATAGTACTGAGTGGACTTGTAGCTCAAGATTTACATTGTTTTATTTTTGAATGCAGTTTTTTGTACATAATTCTACATTTTAAAGTTCAACTTTCACAAAGAGATTGAACAATAGAATATTTGTGTTATATGAATTGAAAAATACTATTTCTTTTCTTTTTACAGTGCAAATATCTGTAATAAAATAAATATAAAGCGAGTTGTTCGAATCTATTGATTTCAGTTACACGTGTAACATGTTCACAAAATTTAAATAAATGATATTCAGTTAACAGTGCTATTAAACATTACTAATTTTAATTGCTTAACAGCCCTAATTTATATCATTACTATTCATCATAATCTCTAAACAGGTTAACTTTTAAATTGCAAAATCTAAGGTTTAACGAAGGTATACACCAGTATACATGTTCTACCCTATTTTCTTTTTTACACGCTGATTCAAAAAGGCAATGGTGTATAATATTTAATTTGCAATGATAAAATGAAACATAATGCTGACTGAGACACCATTCACCAGTCAGAATATAGAGTGGTACAGAGCCAACAGAAAAATGCCAAATGCTCTATTAGTAAGCACCATTTTGCCTAGCAACCTTTTACAACTTATCAAGACCGAGAAAAGGTTTACCACAGCAGTTAAAGCACAACTGCAATGATCATTCCCTTTTTGAATAAATCAGTGTCACTGATTCACTGCTATGCTCAGGATCATATACTCAATTTAATTCAAGGGTCTCCAACACATGGCACGTGGGCCACCTATGGGCCAGAGCATATTCATAATCCAGTCCAAGAGACCCAGCGGCCCAGAGGGGTTGTATCCATCCCCTAAGCCTCGTCCCTTCCCACCACCATCCTGGCTTCTCCCCCCAATTGCATCTTGATCCCCAAACGACCCACTGTTGGGGATTACGGGAGAGGAGGAGAACACTGGTGTGGGCTGGCATGCCCTCCCCACTCCAACTGCTGAATCTCCTGTGCAGGACTGAGAATATGCTCCAACCACAGGCCATTAGTTTGAGACTCCTGATTTAATGGTACTCTTTCCATCATTTGCCACACAAACAAAGAAAAATACTGCTGTAGAATGTATTAGTTTGATTTAAGGCATTTTTTTTATATTTTGGCACATGATGTTGAAATTTGTGTTTTAACAGTTTATAAAGCTTTAACTTTTTGAATCTCAACATCCACCATCATTAAATTATCTGACACTTCACCCTCCTCCCCCATTCACCAACTAATATTTTCTGTGAAAATGTAAATAGATAAGAATTGAAAACATGCTTAAAACTCAAAATGAGGCAACTGTGAAAATTTAAATTAATACAAATCTTTTTAAAATGCTTACAAATAAACACTGGTTTGAGCTGCTGAATTTATAAAAATATTTTTTTTTGCCAAGAATAACTACTATCCAACAATGTAAGGCACTTACGAAAAAGGCCAATATAATTGAGGGGTGTATTAACAGGATGATATTATGGAAGCCATGAAATAATTGTTCAGCTCTGCTTGCTAATGAAGCTTTGTCTGGAATATTGTGTCCAGTTTTAGGTGCCATCTTTCTTTAAGAAAGATGTAGGCAAATTGGAAAGATTCAAGAGGTCAGTAACAAAAGTGAGAAAAAAATTGGGAAATGTGATTTATTAGCAACGAGAAGTCCTATGACACCTTATAATAGATTAACAGATTTATTGGAACATAAGCTTTCATGGGCAAAGACCTACTTTGTCAGATGCATGTAGTGGAAATTCCAGAGGCAAGTATAAATATACAGGCACATGAAAAGAGTACCAATCAAGAGAAACTACATGCATCTGACACAGTGGGTCTTTGCACACAAAAGCTTATGCTCCAATAAATCTGTTAAGGTAGTTTATAAGGTGCCATAGGACTTCTCGTTGTTTATGCAGATCCAGACTAACA